GTGGGGGCAGCAGAGAGGGAGGGGTTTGTGGTGGGTGTTAAGCTGGTGAGGGGGATGTATATGACGAGGGAGAGGGAGATGGCGGCCGCGTTGGGGGTTGAGTCACCGATACATAGAGAGACCCAGCATTTTTGTTGCCACCGGAGGAGATCCCAATTTCAATTGAAATGCACGGGACTGCTAGTCCCGTGCATTTCAACCCAGCTTGGAAATGCACGGGACTAGCAGTCCCGTGCATTTCGTAAAAATTACACCTCAGCAAAACCGACCCTTTTCTTCCGAAAAGGGTCGGTTTTGCTGAATAAAACCATATGAGGTCGGTTTTGCTATTTAAATTGCCAAAAAGGTTGATTTTCAAAATTTGTCCAAAAATTAATTGTGTGGCTCCCGAGGACGTAGGCAGTTGCCGAACCTCGTTAAATCTTGGTGTACTTTTTTTTATACTGCGTTTCTGCGGTTTTAGGGGTTTCGGCAAAAATTCCCATCAAACTTTACCTGTTAATTGTAATTATGTTTGAGCTAGCTGCTATCAACTCAGATAGTACTGTGATTATAAATATGGATAGAGTACCTGATTCTTTTGTTAGATATATCTTCATTCAATTTGCCCTTTAAGTTTTAAGTGAAAAGTTGATCATTAGGAGAGTTGAAGAGGGAAAAGATTCATTCATCTTACTCCCATTAGTTGGTTACAAAATTACTCTGTTGTCTTAGTTGTCATTCTAAATATTTTAATTCTAGAGGCAAGTTGCTGGAGAAGAAGAATCAGCATTCAACAAGGTTTCCCTTCCCAATGAAGGATGAGCATTCTGACTGCAGACGATACAAAAAAAATTAGTTTTATTTTATTATATTAATTTTAGCACAGTAGTTGAATTGAATAATATCCACGTGGTTATTTTCTATAATCATGTCTGGCTTGAACTTCTAAATTGCAAATCCTTGATTAAATAAAATGGGCGAGGACAATTGCCTTACCTTTATATAAGATTTGAATCTAGATTAGGAAGCTTGATTCTTTGTAATATTAAATGCTTCGAGTTTGGTGACCCTTTGATTTTTTTTTTCTCATTATTTCGCCTATCAGATGCGTATTTTAGTTTCCTTACATTGCAGTGCCCTTTTACCTCAGTTATAACACTTCAAATTCTTATGATATTACATTAGATGCAAAATATTTCTGTATATTGAAGTTTTCACTGCCCTTTTTACCAAACATAAAATCTGATCAATCCCCTCTCCTCTTATTGCTTTGGTAACTAATAGAATTCTTCTCGGATTTGAATTCCTTACTTGAGAATTGACATTTGGTTGCAAAAGTTTTATAGCACTTTAAGCATATTTCTTTTTGTTATGGATGTTTATCTTGCTGTTGCTTGTGAAGGTTCTTTATGTTTGCAACTCAAAACTCGCGTGCCACATTTTTTTTAACCAAATATGTGATCAAGTGCAATGTAATCTGACAAAACTAGACATCTTTTTTGCTGCTCTTTAAAGTTAGAATTCCTTTATTTCATGTCATAATCTCTGTCAAGTTGGAAGAAGATAAACAGCACTTGCATGTGTTTTTTTTTAACTGTTGAAGGACAGATTGGCTCATTCCCACGCCATTGGATACTTGAGCAAGTGTCTTCAAGAGAGTTTTTTTTTTATGTTTTGGAGCCCTATTAAAGAGCCTAGCTAAAAGCATTTACTGCTCTGCATGTATTGATAACTATTTTTTTATGCACATATATATATGTTAGTCTGAGTTTGAAACTTTAACCTCTTATCATGAAAATTTTACATTATAATTAGTAGTGGCTACAACAACCAAAGTCTTTTACCTCAAATTTTTATGCTCGGGTTTATGAATATCATCGCTCCCGTTAATAACCATTTTATTCTTCTTTATTGCTTTCGACCAAGTTCTTTTAGGTTTAGTACTTGTCCTTATTTTTTATTTTTTTACACTTTAATTTTGAATTTGGATCCTCTCCACAATAAAAAAAGGTAGTGGAGATGCCATTACCTTATAACAGCCGTTGATTTGTCTAGCGAGTGATCATGATCTTTATAAATTGCGCTCATTTTTAGTTTACGCTCAAAATAAATTACAGCCCCTCATTATGGTAGCGGAGAGGATCCAAATCAAAATTTTAAGGTAAAACTATCTCATTAACTAAATCTTACTGAGCCATATATTTAAATATGAATTTAGATATTTATTTATATTCATACCCTTATTCCTAACCTACCAAACAACTAAAAAAGATATTCATATTCATTTCATATCCCATTGGATAAAATATATATATATATGGAGAACCTTGGTACCAAGTTACTCCATTGAACTTGGTAGTGATATGGACTTATCTAGCTCCTGTATCATTACTCGGAAATAGAGTCTCATCCACTTATCACCTATTCCAATGTAGATGTAGGGACCGGATCAATCAACATCACTACTAAGTTCAATGGAACAACTTGGTACCAAGTTTCTCTATTTCACACACACACACATATATATATATCCATATCCTTTTACATGCGTGATCCAAGTCTACAATTGAATTTTTTTATTCTCTCTTCTTTATTTGATCACTACATTTATACGTTCTTTTATTCTTGTTCAAAACATGATCCATTTTTTTAATAAAAAATAATTAAAAAACATGAACCAAACTACAGTGTGATTTTGACTTTTAAACAGTATGATCTACTCTCTCAAATGCTTGCCTGCACAATCAAATCAACACCACAATAAGCCTTTAGAAAATTCAATTTTGTTATATCAATTTGCTTGCAGTTATAAGTCAAAAGCATATACAGATAGGCTTGAGTCTATTACAGGCTGTTTAGATTACGAAAACAAATGTGGATGAAGCTCTCAGTCTGAAAACACATGTTCTACTAACTACTAATTTAAAAGGTCAGTGACCAACATGGATAAAATTAAAAATTAAACTCCAACAAGTTATCTAGCACAGGTTGAGCTATATTAAATAACAATCAAATCTATACATGATTCCATTTTAAAGAAAGGAGATATGATATGATTGTTTTTTTTTTTTTGAGAATAAATATTATTGGTTTACTTATCCCTTAAGAACTGTTCAATCAGAGGAAAGTTGTTATATATTAGGGGTTTTTGCTTTTAGACCCATTTGTTTACTCCCATTTATTTTTAAACCCAAGTACTATTATTTGTATCTTTAAGCCCAATTCACCTTTTGTATTTATCTTTAAACCCAAAACCACTTATTTTTATATTTTGAAGATTGGGTTTAAAAATAAATACAAAATGTGAATTGGGCTTAAAGATACAAATAATAGTACATGGGTTTAAAAATAAATGGGAGTAAACAAATGGGTCTAAAAGCAAAAACCCCTATATATTATTGGTTCATCACCCCAAGTGAGTCAACTTTGACAGCGTAACACATTCTTCATACTTTGTGGAAGAATGGATTATATTGCTATCTGTAACAAGTAAAAATATCACTATAACGAATTCATGGGAGTAAGATCACTATTAGTTTTAAAAGCACTTTATAGATTTTAAAAACAGGAATAATTTATCTTTTGACTCTAAAATAAAAGTAAAATATTACTTTTACTAGCGGTCTAATAGACTCCGAGATTCCATTGACTAGGGGAGAAAACATGAGAAGAAAAATGTATCATTTGTACTGACATGAAAAGTTATCCATATTTGAGTGGATAGTATATATGAACGAAAATGAATAAGGATACTTAAATGTTTTTTAAGCATTAGGGGACATGATCTTTAATTTGGTTGTCATATCAGAATATATAATATAAGAGTGAATTAAGTAGGACAAAATATCTTAAGTCCTGTGCTCCCAAAACTATATTGACTCTTTGATATATATATATATAAATATATACTATTATATATATATATATATATATATATATATATATATATATAATATACTATATATATATATATATAATATATACATAAATATGTTATTTATATATATATATATATATATATATATATATATATATAATATATATATATATATATATATTATATATATATATATATATATATATATATGTGTGTGTGTGTGTGTGTATATATTATATATATATTATTCAAAGCTTCTATTTTCATACTGAAAAAGATTGAGAAACTTCCAACCCAATTGTATGATAAAAACAAATCTATAAGCTTGTCCCTCGTCTATTCATCCTGTCTTTAAATACATTCTTACATCAAAGTTAATAACCAACTGCCCATCTCTGCCCAAACTCTCATTGCGCAAAGCTTGGGTATATAACTATAGCTCACGCTTATCCCAATATCACCACTTTAAGAATAGGTGTTGGATGATTCTTTTGTATTGGTGGAAAGAATTCTCATTGTTGTATATATAATTGAGGATCCCAATACAAATCAGGGGACCCCCCTCCTCATTCATTTCTCTCTATCTCTCTCCTCTTTTATAGAGTGCCCATGGGCACTCTATAGAAAAACCGTATAATTATAACTCTCTACTTCTCATGAAAACTTTAAACTTATGATGAAAATTGTGCACTACAATTATATACTCTTAACATTACTTTACAGATTGAGCGTTTTTTTCATGAATGAAAATTTATATCCACGCAATGTTGACAATAACCATTTAAATCAGCTTCGATTTGAGCGTTCGGTCAATGGAATTTGAGCTTAGATTACTCCAATACTATTTAAGCATAGTATATATCATCTTAAATTCTCTTTCAATGCACAAAATTCAAAGCTGAAATGAGAAATAAAGATCACAAGTTTAAACTAAAACTTATAGCAGTATATCATATGTATGCATTCTCAAACGTTTCACTTTTATACTGAAAGAAAGAGAACATCCAAACCACCAACTACTCAATAAATAAAAAATAAAAATAAAAATAAAAAAAATTAATCCACGAGTTAGCTCCTCATCCCCTCATCCTTTGCCTTTAAATACATGCATGCATCAACAACTGAACAACCCATCTCAAGCAAAACTCTCATTTTAAAACAAGGGTCTGAGCAAAAATGAGCAGCAACGTTAACGGCGAGATAGTATCAAACCCTCCTCCATCTCAAGGAAAGCTCGTCACTGTCCTTAGCATCGATGGTGGCGGAGTCCGAGGCATAATCCCAGGGACCATCCTCGCCTTCCTCGAATCCAAACTCCAAGTAACCAAACATCTAACTCGCAGTTTCATTCAACAATTACTTACATTTTCTAAGATAAACTACTGCTAAAGTCGTTTTCGTTACCTGAAAATCCTAAAGATGTGATGGTTGAACGTGATAATTTGTACTGCGACATGGGCATGCTGAAATATATACTATTTAGACAGCAAAAGAAAAAAATCACTATAGAAGACCGGAAAAGAAAAAAAATATCCTATAGAAAAAATCATGCAAGGAGAAATGATATTTCGATGTGTTTTAAACACCAAATTAATGTGGTGATTACACTGATACAATAATCTTGTTGTATTGATAAAGTGATGGTGATTGTACTCATAACAACATTATGACTGTGCTATAATAATGAATACTCAATTGCATTGCTTTAGAATATTGAAGTTTGGACACATTACTAGTAAAAAACAAAGCATCGATCCTAGACAGAGTATCCTAGACGGAATATAATCCGTCTAGAATGACCGCAATCTCGACAGAAATTTTTCATCTACGATATTCCGTCTAGGATGTATAACTGCAATCTTGACAGAAATTTTTCATCTACGATATTCTGTCTAGGATGTAACGTCCTAGACGGAAAAACCGTCTAAATACGTATTTCTAGACGGAAATTTTTTAATTATTTTTTTAAAATGTGGGTCCCACAGTTCTCGATGGAATATTCCGTCTAGAATATCTAAAAATGCCCTAGCTTTCAAAAACCTTCCCCAAATTTTGATTTTTTTTTAATGAAATCCTACCTGATTCCTCCACCGACCCACTGCTCCACCGCCGACCCTCTCCACCCTCCTCCGCCACTCCACCCATGCCACTTCACCACCGATATTTTTATTTATAGGGGGAATAAAAATTTTAAAAATAAAAAAGAATATAAATGTCCTAGATAGAAATTCCGTCTTGAATACAACTTAGACAAAAATTCCGTCAAGGACGTAATAAAATATCCTAGATGAAAAATTCCGTACCCTAGGCAGAAAATTCTGTACCTTAGACGGAAAATTCTATCTGGGAAGTATCACAGACAGAATTTATTATTATCTAGAAATATCCTAGGCGATTATTTTATCCGTCTAGGTTGTGATTCTGTTTAGGATGGTTTTTCTAGACAGAATTTCATCTAGAATGTCTCATCCTAGACGAAAACTTTCTAGACCAACATCCTAGATGGAATTCCGTCTAAGATGGTCAACTTAGAAAGAAATCTGACTATTTTAGAGGGAATATTTCGTCTTGGATGTCATGTCTTTTACCAGTGCATGTTGCTATCTCTTCTCTTGCGATAAGATTTTCGATAGATAGAGGTTTCTTAGTAGGATTTAAAAGAATCCCTTCTAGACATGAGCACATTTTTAAATCCAATCAATGCATTTTCATCTGGCGTCGAACGAAAATTACTCTAATACAATGTTTAAGTCCCATTCACTACATTAGAACCTTGAAGTTGTTGTAAGAGTTGAGGTTTATAATTTTATGCTTATGCAATCCATAACTTAGGAGCTTGATGGAGAGGATGCAAGGATTGCAGACTACTTTGATGTGATTGCGGGGACAAGCACGGGCGGCCTGGTTACTGCAATGCTCACAGCTCCGGACAAGAACAATCGCCCTCTCTTCGCTGCAAAAGAGATCAATGATTTCTATTTGGAGAACTCTTCCAAGATTTTTCCTCAGAAAAAGTAAGTATAATATATATGCTTAAAGTTTTTATCTGGAGAAGATGGTTAAATGTGTATGCTTTTTTATTTATTTTTTATTTTTTATGTTGCAGTTGGATGTTGAGTATTCCTAAGATACTCACAGGGCCTAAGTATGATGGCAAGTATTTGCATTCTAAGATACAAGATTTGGTCGGTGAAACAAGGATACATCAAACTGTGACTAACGTGGTTATCCCCACTTTTGATGTCAAGCTTCTCCAACCCACCATCTTCTCAACTTTTGAGGTATATATGAGAGTTTTTTCCATAATTTTACTCGCCTTTTTTTTTGCAGATTGAATGTCCAGATTGCTGATAAATCCATACTATTCCAGACATCTTAAGAAACAGCTCTAAATTCATTTGTCAAATTTACATACACATTCACATGCATATATACACTA